TAAATAACCAGAATTTCCACCTACGATGGCGGTTATTTTCCTCTTTCAGTGTCTTGTTTCCTTTTCCACATTAGCGGGGACTAACCTTATCTTTTAAACCCAATTATATTTTGGTTACACTCTAAAAACTTTCCATTACAACTCACCACGACCTATTGCCAAAGTTAGAAAGCAACAATAACTTCTTTAAACCCAATCAAAAACACCCCTAAAAACAAATCTATCTAGTTACATCTATACCCTGTACACAACGTCATCCGAAAATAGTCGGTGGCCTAGAGGCAGAACGTCATGAAATGCCCTATATGGTAAGTTTAACACGACGCGGTAGACATTATTGTGGGGCTACAATAATACACGAAAAATGGATAGTGACAGCGGGTCACTGTATCTGCAATGGACTGAATAATTTTATGAAAGCCTCACACATCCAAGGTGTAATGGGACTGCATAGTATATCACAATATTTGAATGGCATAGATAATGAACGCGATGGAGAGGTGCCCATCAAGGTGAACTTTCAAAGTATTGTACCTCATCCCAACTATAAATGTACAAATACACAAAATGATATTGGTACTTATGAGTAGATTAAGATTTAAGTTTTGAACTGAATGGATGCTAATAAATGAAAATTTTCACTTTCTTTTTCTTGCTGTTCCTCCTTTTTCTACTGTTTAAAGCTTTAATGGAATTGATACAGCCCATACGATTTTCCCGCCACATACAGCCTAGCTGTTTGTCTGCCGCTGCTAGTTTGAGAAATCATGAAAATGAAGTGGCTACCGTTTCGGGCTGGGGTTGGACTCAAGAGGATCAAGCTGTAGGCGATATAGCCGATAATTTACGCAAAGCTGTCGTAAGAGTTTGGAATAATAATGCTTGCGAAAGATCATATCAGCTGAATGGTAGACCTAATAGCATAATCACAGATACACAAATGTGTGCGGGCTATGAAAATGGCGGCATTGATTCATGTTGGGTAAAGTGCAAGCGTTAAATTTTAAGAAATATTTTTTGTAATTTTAATAAAATGTTAACTTAATAGTAGTTAGGGCTTTTATATTAAGTTTTATCCCTCTTTAAATGTTAATTTCATTTTACGTTTCCTTTTTCTATTTTTCAGGCCGATTCCGGCGGCCCTTTAATGTCCAAGGAAAATTTCCTTATTGGTGTTGTTTCTACCGGTATTGGTTGTGCTCGGCCTGGCCTACCAGGCATCTATACGCGCGTTAGCAAATATGTTTCTTGGATGGAGTCTGTGATATTTCAACGTAATTGATGATTTTAAGTCAAATGTTTTGAATTGTACTGTGATATTTGTTAATTCTTTTAAATGTTAAGTTGTAGTTTTTAATAACTTAGTTTTAAAATCATTAGATGCTTAAAAAATTGTTATAAATAAATGTTTTAAAATAAAATTACAACAAAAAGGTCTTAAATTTATTGAAATTTGTTATGAAGGGTAAGAGCTAAGAAGCTAGATTTTGTATGTATATCTATCTATCTATCTATCTATCTATCTATCTATCTATCTATCTATCTATCTATCTATCTATCTATCTATCTATCTATCTATCTATCTATCTATCTATCTATCTATCTATCTATCTATCTATCTATCTATCTATCTATCTATCTATCTATCTATCTATCTATCTATCTATCTATCTATCTATCTATCTATCTATCTATCTATCTATCTATCTATCTATCTATCTATCTATCTATCTATCTATCTATCTATCTATCTATCTATCTATCTATCTATCTATCTATCTATCTATCTATCTATCTATCTATCTATCTATCTATCTATCTATCTATCTATCTATCTATCTATCTATCTATCTATCTATCTATCTATCTATCTATCTATCTATCTATCTATCTATCTATCTATCTATCTATCTATCTATCTATCTATCTATCTATCTATCTATCTATCTATCTATCTATCTATCTATCTATCTATCTATCTATCTATCTATCTATCTATCTATCTATCTATCTATCTATCTATCTATCTATCTATCTATCTATCTATCTATCTATCTATCTATCTATCTATCTATCTATCTATCTATCTATCTATCTATCTATCTATCTATCTATCTATCTATCTATCTATCTATCTATCTATCTATCTATCTATCTATCTATCTATCTAGCTATCTATCTATCTATCTATCTATCTATCTATCTATCTACCTACCTACCTACCTACCTACCTACCTACCTACCTACCTACCTACCTACCTGTCCATCAGCTTTTGCACAAAAGTTGTTTATTAACATAATCCCGTAATAAAACCCACACCGGCCTTTGCAAAAATGACCCTCACATTAAAGTTTACATCATATTGGGTTTTTTTGAGAATTGTCTCTAAAACCGACTTGTTGCTTAATTACTTCCGTAAAACACTTACCTTTGAAAAAATGTTGATGTAGACTTCGATTTTTATTAGTTCCTGGTGTTATCCTATGAAAAAATCTCCTCCGGCGGCTAAGACACTATTATTTTCCAAATCACTTTCATTGGTTCCAAGTTCGTGGTTAAAACAGAATATTTGTTTGCAAATATTACTTTTGTAAGAAAAAGCACTTTAATTTAAAATTGTCAATCAATAACACTTTAAATAATATATACATCTTGTTAGCGCTTAATTATAATAGCAAATATCTACCTACAATTTTTTCCAAGAGCCTCCCAAAATGGCGCCTTTTTTGTAAGAATTGTCAAATTTGCCACCTGTTTTACAACTTTAGCACACACTCACTGAAGCTTTTTTTAGACAAATATAAAATTAACAAAAAATGCTTGAAAAACATTACAAAACCTACAAATTTCATATGCTTAACACAATATAACACTTTATTAATTAATTAAAACAAAAATTTTTAATTTAAACTTGAATTTAACAACAAAAAATTTTAATTTTCTTTAAGACTACACAAACTGATAGCGAACTGTTACAAAAAAAACTTCAACAACTTCCACAATAAGTCACTGAAGTTGCCAACTATTTTAAACAGCTAGCTGAGAAAAGTACTAAACTCAAAATAGTAGTAATAAAATATATATCAAATTTTTATGAACAAAACAATTTTTTTTAAAAATCTAAATAATTTTTAATTAATTTAATTTAACAATAACATAAAAATTTTAATTTTTAATTCAAAGTTAACAGTAATATGAGTAATTTGATTAAATGCATTCCATTTAATTGATACTTTTAAAATGCAACCTTGTGTTTTTATTATGACATCCCTACAAGAACAGTGACAGTCATTTGACCGGTCATTTGACTGACACTAGTGAAGGAAATATCGATCACTGCGTAGAACAAAGTTTCTATCAAGTTCTTAAGGGCAATATGAAAAATTTGATGGAAACTTTTGTGTACATGTGATCTTGCATCTCCCTTGCACTTATGAATTCTACCGATTTTAAAACATATATTTGAGCTGCTCACTCTTTTGCTTTTTACCAATCAAGGATGATGGAAATGTTAGTCACGATTGACTAATCATTCTTTATGGATATATCCATCACAGTTGACCAATCACACTTGATGAATTTATCCGTCAAATCTGACGGCTATGCCAATTTATAATAAAACACAATTTATTAAAGGCCCAAATAGACTACACAAGCGGCTTGACAAACATACCAATATTTTACGTTTGTGCAAGCCTGTTGTGTAGTGTATGAGGGTGTTTCGTGTTTGTACAAATGCTTGCTGTTTGTTTGTACAAAAATTAAAAAAAATTGATTTTTACACAAACATATTGAATTTTTGTCAAACCATTTGTATGGTTTATATTCAATAATAAAAAATTTTTCAAAAAATTTACATTTCTAAGAAAAATTGACATCTGTATCTTTGAAAGTCCACAAAAACGTGAAAAAAATCGGTGTTTGTACGAGCAAGGTTTGTGTAATGTGTGTGCGAATGAAAAAAGTATGTTTGATAAGCGGCTTGTGTAGTCTATTTGGGCCTTAACATTTTAAGATATATATTTTTAATTTTATTAATATACATAGTAAGCATATACATAAATTAACTACCATTTCACCATTTTACATACCTCACAGAATGTAAAATCCTCCTATGCTCCTTTTAATTTTAGGAAATAAATTGTCTGTAAAGAAATGCATATAAATATTGAAATATAAAATTAAAAGTAAATATGTATTCATATTACCACAGATAGATTAAACTCCGAAGTGTATATTCTCAGCTCCACTTCCTGCACCGTTTTTAAATTACAATAAATCTCTTTATTTTTAATAATTTTAGTCTTAAATTTTTTAATTTTTTGCTTTTTGATCTTTGGCTTTCACTGAAATAATTAATTTATGCGACGAAAACACAGTGACAGTCAAATGTAGTTGTTTCACTCTTTCATATGCAAATGAAACCCTTTATCACACATTGAGTAAATCACAGTCATTTTACCGGTCATTTGACCGTCATTATTGATGGAATTATCCATTAACTATTTTTTTTAGTAATTTTTAAAGAAAAATGTTGCAAGTGTGTTAGTAAAATCATTTTGTATGTGTTAGTTTCGGTCATACATTTCTTGTAGGGATGTCATTCACTCTAAACTAATAACACATGTTTACTTTCTTCGCGCTAAAACTAATCCAAGGCGAATTCAGATAAGGTGGTGGCAGTTCGGCAACAACAAAATTTTCCATGTAATTTGTTTTTGCATTTGGTACGCTCTGGTGTCAAATTTATATACCGAATGAAAGAATCTTTGTTGTAAATGGAAAAAACTAGTCCGGCGGAGTAAGTTTTTCTCTGATTTAACGGAAATTTATAAATATAAAAATGTAAACAATAACAAACTCTGACATCAGTGTGTACCAGCCAAGTGAAGAAAAAAATAAAACAGCTGATTGTATAACACCACCTTATCTGAATTCGCCTTGCTTCGCGCTAAAACTAGTCGATCAATCCCACTAATCGTACAAAGTGAATAAAAAAAGAATACATCCGCGCTTAATGTTACAAGAAGAATCAATTTTCTACTACATATTCATGCAACATTAGAAAAATCCGTGTAGAAAAAGTTGCCACGTTCAAGAACAAAAGTGTTTTTTATTGATTTATTGTTATTTTAATTCATGTTATCTAGTGAAAAAGATGTCAATTATGGAGACACCTAAAAGTGCTCGTCAACAAATACGCACAATGCGTAATCACACTCCCAGATTATCGGAACGTAAAAAGAAACTTTTTGGCAGTACAACACAGAAAGACAATGAACTGGAGGGTGATGGGGAAGATGAAATGCTTAAGGGAATAGCCCCCTTGGCTAGTAGAAAGTCTAGAAATACTGGTAAAACGCCAAAAAGTACAAAAATTATGGAATCATTAATGGGTTCTTGTAAGAAATCGCCACGCGTTATAAGTTTCTTTGAAACCGAATCAGAAGATGGTGGAGATACGGCAGAAGAACAGAAACCTTCACCTTCTAGGCGTAGTGTTCGTTTAAGTTTGAAGAAATCACCCAATTCTAGTAAATCGGAAGGGGAATTTTCCACTTCGCCTCACAAAGAAAATATACCCCTCAAAACGCCCACACGCAAAGAGTCGCAAGAAGACAAGAAATTACAGAAAATGTTTAGCAATTCTATGCAAATTACACCACGCGATAAAACGCCCATAGTAATAGATGAAACTTCCAGTGAAGATGAGGAAAACGAACAGGAAATGAAAGACATTAGGCTTAGATCCAATAAAAAATGTTTAACTAAAAGACATTGTGAAATAGAGGGTTCAACTGGTTTGAGTCCCATGCGCAAGAAAGGCAAAACTTCTATATCACACATAGAGGGTGGCTCCATTTCTACCAAGTCCTTCTATTCGGGTAAAATTAATAAAACCACCTCACCCACGAATGGTCGTGCCAGCTGTAGAAACTTATTTGGTCAAACAGTCAGTGGGGGAAATACACCCTCCCAAAACAAGGCTAAAGCATCAACTAACAGACGCAGCTTAGGTTCGCAAGCCACTTCCATTAATCGTGGTGTACACCATAAAATACGCAAACGTTCACACCCTTTCGGATTGGCACCCAAACACTATGCTCCCGTCGACATTGATCACATACTCAACAATGTACGCAATGAAAAGTTACGCAAACTCATTACAGCCAAACGTGAGGAGAAGCAGCAAATTGAAAAAATCCACAGCATTTTCCGTCAAGCCAGTAATCCCATAGCCATGGCACGTCCCTTAAGTGCAATATCACAACAAGATGATTCTAACAATAATAACATCAAGGAAGAAGACGTTAAGCTGCACAAACCGTCGGAATCTTCACAGTCCACCTATCAAAACGACACTGATTTTTCAGATATTGAATGTGACATGGAAGAGTTTATCGATGAGGACGATGATAAGGGTAATTTAGAGAATGCTCTTATGGCCATGAATGAGGAAGTCATACCACTTATTACCCATCAGGCAGATGATGCTTTATCGGTTAAGTCGGAAGATAGTTCGGCGCCTGTTAAGAGGAAATTCTTTAAATCAGGTCGTAGTACTACTACACGCAAAGAGGTTCATATAACGGATAATATAAAGGCCATGGTAACGGCCAATGGCAAATTGTCGATTGTGCCGGAAAAGAAAAAAGTCAAGCGGCGCATTAAGATACGTAATTCAGGTGGGTAAAAGATTATTTAGATTTTAAGCATAATTGGTAGAAGAAATAAGGATTCTGATTGGAATATAAATAGTTTCCATAGAATACAATACAGTCCTATGTCAGTTCTAGTTCAGTTCTGTCAGTAGTTCAGTTCTAGTTCAGTTTAGTTCAGTTCTAGTCAGTTCTAGTTCAGTTCTAGTTCAGTTCTAGTTCAATTCTAGTTCAATTCTAGTTCAGTTCTAGTTCAGTTCTAGTTCAGTTCAAGTTCAGTTCTAGTTCAGTTCTAGTTCAGTTCTAGTTCAGTTCTAGTTCAGTTTCTAAGTCAGTTCTAGTTCAGTAGTTTCATAGTTCAGTTCTAGTTCAGTTCTAGTTCAGTTCTAGTTCAGTTTCTAGTTCAGCTTCTAGTTCAGTTCTAGTTCAGTTCCTAGTTCAGCTCTAAGTTTTCAGTTCTAGTTCAGTTCTAGTTCAGTTTCTAGTTCAGTTCTAGTTCAGTTCTAGTTCAGTTCTAGTTCAGTTCTATTCTAGTTCAGTTCTAGTTCAGTTCTAGTTCAGTTCTAGTTCAGTTCTAGTTCAGTTCTAGTTCAGTTCTAGTTCAGTTCTAGTTCAGTTCTAGTTCAGTCTAGTTCAGTTCTAGTTCAGTTCTAGTTCAGTTCTAGTTCAGCTAGTTCAGTTCTAGTTCAGTTCTAGTTCAGTTTAGTTCAGTTCTAGTTCAGTTCTAGTTCAGTTCTAGTTCAGTTCTAGTTCAGTTCTAGTTCAGTTCTAGTTCAGTTCTAGTTCAGTTCTAGTTCAGTTCTAGTTCAGTTCTAGTTCAGTTCTAGTTCAGTTCTAGTTCAGTTCTAGTTCAGTTCTAGTTCAGTTCTAGTTCAGTTCTAGTTCAGTTCTAGTTTAGTTCTAGTTCAGTTCTAGTTCAGTTCTAGTTCAGTTCTAGTTCAGTTCTAGTTCAGTTCTAGTTCAGTTCTAGTTCAGTTCTATCTAGTTCAGTTCTAGTTCAGTTCTAGTTCAGTTCTAGTTCAGTTCTAGTTCAGTTCTAGTTCAGTTCTAGTTCAGTTCTAGTTCAGTTATAGTTCACTTCTAGTTCAGTTCTAGTTCAGTTTAGCTCAGTTCTAGTTCAGTTCTGGTTTAGTTTCTGGTTCAGTTCTAGTTCAGTTCTAGTTCAGTTCTAGTTCTAGTTCAGTTCTAGTTATAGTTCAGTTCTAGTTCAGCTCTAGTTCAGTTCTAGTTCAGATCTAATTCAGTTCTAATTCAGTTCTAGATCAGTTTTAGTTTTATATAAGATTTTTCTAATAATCATATTTTTTATTTATTTCTTCCAGTCACCAATGAATTCTCCGATGAACAGGCTACTGTTGATGCTATTTTGCGTAACTTGGATGACACCGCATTCGGTGACATTATTGTGCCCAAAGATGAGAATGAAGATGAAAATTCCAACCTCAACAGCAACGATAATAATGCCTTCTTAGATGAAATCGATCAACAATTGGCCTTAATGAATGAAGAAGAATCATCGTCGAACCTAATCGACGATATTGTTCTACAGGATAATCAAGATTTTAATGATTTTCGTAAAAGATTACCCTACAATACCAACGATCCGGAAATTATTGAACGTCAGCATTTACTATTGGACTTCTTAATTACCAATAACATTTGCACCGAAGAAAATTTCAATATTTTCATAGCCGATCCAGATAATCACAAAGCAGAGGCTGAAAGAATTATTGATGAGTTAGTCATAGTAGTGACGGATCATCAGAATACCGATTTTCGTCAGAGAATACCCTATAATACCACAGATCCAGAGCTAATAGAACAGCAGCATAGTTATTTGGATTTTCTATTGGAAAATAATATTTGCACAGAGGAAAATTTTGATATATTTATAGCGAATTATGGCCAGAGAAAGGCGGAAGCAGATGCTATCATTGCGCAATATTTAACAGGCGTTAATGGACAATATAATGACAATCTAAATGCACCATTAGCTGCTGGTAATCAACTATTGTCAGCTGAAAAACAAAACATGAATTTAAGTACAAATAGTTATAAAACAGATAATACTTATGGAACTTCTACAGCAAATACAATTAACAATAATATTACAACTTTACCTGAACAACTTTTACAAACACCCACACCTACAACAGCCTTAAATATTAACAACAATCTGCCTACCCATAGTGGTGCTGCCGCCCTAGAAACGCCACAGCTTAATGAAACGCAACAACAACAGAAACTATTTCCAGTTTTCTATCCGGGCGGTTGTCAACCCCTTAATCTGCCTTCCACCAGACGCAAACAGCAGCAACGTGCTTGGAATGCTGGCTATGGCAGTAATCAATATCAAATTGATGCCGGTCAAAAATCATTCGGTGCTCATCAGTGCAAACAATGTGGTTTAGTCTATACTGTTCATGAACCCGAGGAGGAGAAATTACATCGAGATTTTCATGCTTCTTTACATATTTTACGTTTTAAGGGTTGGATTGATGAGGATATTGTGGCAATTTATCCAGAGTGGGGACCGGATGGTCGTATTTTACGTTTGACCGAGTCATCACCTCCTAAACGACGTGAACGTCTGATGGATATTTTAAAGATTGTCGATAAAGAATTGGGTTTTCATCGTATATTGTGCCAAAAACATTTGTCGCCTATTTTGCTGTTCGTAAGATGCAAATTGTGGGTTTATGTCTGGTACAGCCACTGGATAAGGCGAATAAATATTTGTGTGTTAATGGTGTCGATTGCTGTACGGAGGAACAATTTGAGGCTAAGTAAGTGATTGTTTTAAAATTTGTTTCCATTTATAAATAAATTCTAGTTGAGCTCTAGTTTAGTTCTAGTTCACTTCTATTCCAGTTCTAGTTCAGTTCTAGTTCAATTCTATTTCAGTTCTAGTTCAGTTCTACATCAGTTCTAGTTCAGTTTTAGTTCAGTTCTATTTCAGTTCTAGTTCAGTTCAAGTTCAGTTCTAATTCAGTTCTAGTTCAGTTCTAGTTCAGTTCTAGTTCAGTAGTCAGTTCTAGTTCAGTTCTAGTTCAGTTCTAGTTCAGTTCTAGTTCAGTTCTAGTTCAGTTCTAGTTCAGTTCTAGTTCAGTTCTAGTTCAGTTCTAGTTCAGTTCTAGTTCAGTTCTAGTTCAGTTCTAGTTCAGTTCTAGTTCAGTTCTAGTTCAGTTCTAGTTCAGTTCTAGTTCAGTTCTAGTTCAGTTCTAGTTCAGTTCTAGTTCAGTTCTAGTTCAGTTCTAGTTCAGTTCTAGTTCAGTTCTAGTTCAGTTCTAGTTCAGTTCTAGTTCAGTTCTAGTTCAGTTCTAGTTCAGTTCTAGTTCAGTTCTATTCAGTTCTAGTTCAGTTCTAGTTCAGTTCTAGTTCAGTTCTAGTTCAGTTCTAGTTCAGTTCTAGTTCAGTTCTAGTTCAGTTCTAGTTCAGTTCTAGTTCAGTTCTAGTTCAGTTCTAGTTCAGTTCTAGTTCAGTTCTAGTTCAGTTCTAGTTCAGTTCTAGTTCAGTTCTAGTTCAGTTCTAGTTCAGTTCTAGTTCAGTTCTAGTTCTAGTTCTCAGTTCTAGTTCTAGTTCAGTTCCAGTTCAGTTTAAGTTCAGTTCTATTTCAGTTCTATTTCAGTTCTTGTTCAGTTCTAGTTCAGTTCCAGTTCTAGTTCAGTTCTAGTTCAGTTCTAGTTCAGTTCTAGTTCAGTTCTAGTTCAGTTCTAGTTCAGTTCTAGTTCAGTTCTAGTTCAGTTCTAGTTCAGTTCTAGTTCAGTTCTAGTTCAGTTCTAGTTCAGTTCTAGTTCAGTTCTAGTTCAGTTCTAGTTCAGTTCTAGTTCAGTTCTAGTTCAGTTCTAGTTCAGTTCTAGTTCAGTTCTAGTTCAGTTCTAGTTCAGTTCTAGTTCAGTTCTAGTTCAGTTTTAGTTCAGTTCTAGTTCAGTTTCTAGTTCAGTTCTAATTCATTTCTAATTCATTTCTAGTTCAGTTCTAGTTCAGTTCTAGTTCAGTTCTAGTTTACTTCTGGATCAGTTCGAGTTCACTTCAAGATCAATTCGAGTTTACTTCTAGTTCGAGTTTGCTCCTAGATCATTTTGAGTTTACTTCTAAATCTGTTTGAGTTTGAGCTCGAGATTAGTTCGAGTTTACTTTAAGATCAGTTCTAGTTTGCTTCAAGATCGGTTCTAGTTTATTTCTAGATCAGTTCGAGTTTACTTCACGATCAGTTCTAGTTTACTTCCAGAGGTGTTGTAGGTGAATTTTTCATCAAAAAAATTCTATGTTCTCTTTTTAGATGCGGCATCTCCCGAATCTGGGTCTCTCCTCTGCATCGACGTTTTCACATTGGTTCCAAACTAATACAAGCTGTGCAATTAAATACAATATTTGGTGAAGAGGTACAACTGGATAAAATTGCCTTTAGTGCACCCACCGAAATGGGCAAAGCATTTGCACAGAAAATTACCCAAACCGAGAATTTTCTGGTATATCAATAGATCAACAAAAAAATACATACACTAATTTTGTTAATGATAAAGTTAAAGAAAGAAAAATTCGCGAGAAGAACATTTTATTATATGTTATTTTAAATGACATACTTTTAGCTTAGTATAAGACTCTCAATGAATTCTTAAATTTTCATTTTTGTTCATTGCTGGTTTTTCTCATGATTTCTGTATGTATATTGTCGCTTGCATTTTATCTTATTTTATTATTTTCTTTTTTTTTTTTTTTTGCTGTTATATACAAAAAATGTTTATCATTTTTTTTTATTCTTATATAAATATCGTTTTTTTATATATTATATATTTTACGTTATATTTTTTTTTTATTAATTTTAATTATTACATACATTTATTTTTCGTTAATAATTTAAGGTCTCATAATTTGGAAAAACAAAATACATTTAAAAACAAAAACATAAAAACTTTAATAAATAAAAAAAATTTTGCGATTTTCTTTTTTTTCTCTAACAACAGAGTAATTTTGTGTTTTAATTTGGATTAAGTTGAAATATTGTTTAATTTGGTTCTAATTCAGATCTCGATTAGTTTTAGATCAGTTCTAGTTTACTTCTAGATCAGTTGTAGTTTACTTCTAGATCAGTTCTAGTTTACTTCTAGATCAGTTCTAGTTTACTTCTAGATCAGTTCTAGTTTTATTCTAGATCAGTTCTATTTTACTTCTAAATCAGTTCTAGTTTTATTGTAGATCAGTTGTAGTTTACTTTTAGATCAGTTCTATATTTATTCTAGATCAGTTCTAGTTTACTTCTAGATCAGTTCTAGTTTACTTCTAGATCGGTTCTAGTTTACTTCTAGATCTGTTCTAGTTTACTTCTAGATCAGTTCTAGTTTTATTCTAGATCAGTTCTAGTTTACTTCTAGATCAGTTCTAGTTTTATTCTAGATCAATAGTAGTTTACTTCTAGATCAGTTCTAGTTTACTTCAACATCAGTTCTAGTTTTATTCTAGATCAGTTCTAGTTTACTTTCAGATCAGTTCTAGTTTTATTCTAAATCACTTCTAGTTTACTTCTAGATCAGTTCTAGTTTGCTTCTTGATCAATTTATTTATATAGAAAATTGGTCGTATAACAGTATTCTACTTCGAATTTTTTGTATATAAGTTTTCTCGATAGAAAAATGGTTATATAACAGTTTTCTTTATAAAAAATTTGTCGTATAATAGTTTTCTCGACAGAAAAATGATGGTATATCTATTTTCTCTACAGAAAAATAATTGTATAATAGCTTTCTCTAAAGAAAATTTGTCGTATATCAGTATTTTCCATAGAAAATTTGTCATATAGCAGTTTTCTCTATAGAAAAGCGGTCGTATGACAATTTTCTCTACAAAAATATAGTGATATAACAGGTTTTTCTAAAGAAAATGTTTCGTATAACAGTTTTCTCTATAGAAAAATGTATTCTTTATAAAAAGATTGTCGTATAACAGTTTTCTATATAGAAAAATGTATTCTTTATAAAAAGATTATCGTATAACAGTTTTCTATATAGAACATTGTTCTTGTAACAGTTTTCTCTATAGAAAAATGGTTGTATAAAAGATTTCTTTATAAAAAAATTTGTCGTATAACAGTTTTCTATTTAAGAAATTGGTTGTATAACAGTATTCTCGATAGATAAATGGTTAGGCAACAGTTATCTTTATAAAAAATTAGCCGTATAATAGTTTTCTCTATAGAAAAATGGTGATACAACTAATTTCTCTACAGAAAAATAGTTGTATAATAGTTTTCTCTATAGAAAATTTGTGGTATATCAGTATACTTCGAATTTGTTGTATAACATTTTTCTCGATAGATAAATGGTTAGGCAACAGTTTTCTTTATAAAAAATTAGCCGTATAATAGTTTTCTCTATAGAAAAATGGTGATACAACTAATTTCTCTACAGAAAAATAGTTGTATAATAGTTTTCTCTATAGAAAATTGGTGGTATATCAGTTTTCTCTATAGAAAGTTTATCGTATAACATTATTTTCCATAGAAAATTTGTCGTATAATAGTTTTCTCTATAGAAATGTGGTCGTATAACAATTTTCTCTACAGAAAAATAGTGGTATAATAGTTTTCTGTATAGAAAATAAGTTTTCCCTATAGATATTTGATTGTAAATTATATTTATCTATTGAAAAATGGTCGTATAACAGTTTCCCTTACAGAAAATTAGTCGTTTAGCCGTTTTCTCTATAGAAATATTGGCGTATAACAGTTTTCTCTATAGAAAATTGATCGTATAATAGTTTTCTCTATACGAAATTTACGTTTTCTTCACTTAATAAAAAGAACATTTTTCGTTTAACAGATTTCTCTATAGAAATATGTCCGTATAACAGTGTTCTCTATAGAAAATTGGTCGTATAAGTTTTCTCTATAGATATTTGAGCGCAAATCTATGTTTACTTATAGAATAATTATCGTATAAGAGTTTCCCTTATAGAAAATTAATCGTTCAACAGTTTTCTCTGTAGAAATATTGTCGTATAACAGTTTTCTCTATATAAAATTGGTAGTTTACGTTTTTTTCTTTTAATAAAAGTCTTTCATGTTGTTTTTTTTCACAAAAAGTATTTGTGTATTTATTTTTTAATTATTTTTTGTTTTGTTTTTGTATGTATGATAGATTTTATTTGATGTTGTTGTATATTATTTACATAATGCAAATTCTTAAAATGTATTATCTACTATAATATAATTATGTAATTTGAAAACTGTCTTTGAGATATTTGATCATTTTATTTATTCCACTAAAATTCTTAATTTAGGTTTTTAATGTATGATTTTTTTTTCTTCTTGCCATCTTTTAAAACCAAGTGGTAGGGAGGGGGGATTGGTTAGTGTTTTTAAGTTTAATTCTTGTTTAATAATTATTTTGTTTTAGTTTTAATAAAACTACAAACTAAGGAGAAAAAATGGACCAAAAAAAGAAAAGGACAAATCTAAAAGGTTTTTGTACAAAATAAAACACCTTGAGAAAAATTTTTTTAAAAATGACAAAAAACTAATTCCTTATAACAAAAGGAAATTTTACAAAAAAGGGTATTAATTAAATGATTGCAAACAAAATAAATATTATTCTGTTTTCAGAACAATTAAGAGAAAACCCCTAATTTTTTATATAATTATAAATTATAAAAGTAAAAACATGTTGAGTTACTAATTAACTGTCTGTCTATCTCCTCTATCTATGACCATTGTTAATAAAAAATAAACAAACTCAATGTCGGGTATTAGTGTTGGTGCTGGTTTTGAAACCACTATTTAAATAATACGAATACAGTTCATCTCAGTACGGTGCATAACGGCGACCGGGTGGTGAGGGACCACGCATATTACGCGAAGACATCATACGATCGTCAAATGAATCACGACTAAAATCTTCATAACTAATTGAAAAAAAGAGAAAATAACGGAAATGATTATTTAAAATATGAAACATTTTTTAAAATATTTAAATACTAACCCGCCATAACGACCCATGCCATTGCTGCCACGTGAGGGTGGTGGTGATCGTCTGCTAAACATGCTGTCATAACCACGTGATAAACTACCACCTCTTAAGCTGCCACTCAACGGTGGTGGCAAAGGCATTGGATCACGTCTCGATAGTGGTGGTGGTGGGAAATCACGCATACGCGATCCCTGATAACGACGTTCGAATAAATCGCGTGTATCTTCGAATCTACGATCATAGTAATCATAATCCTATAAACAAAAGTTTTGTAAAGAGAGAAAAATTATAAAAATTGTATTTTTTAGATTAATAATGTACTTTTTTTTAATTGTAAGAACGAGCGAATTGTGATGAAAATATTTATAAAAATTTAATTGGTATAATAGTTTTCTCTATAGAATATAAGTAGTATAACAGTTTTTTATAAAGTAAATAGTGTTCACTATATAAAAATGGTCGTATTACAGTTAAAAACATGGTCATATAACAGTTTTATATACAGAAAAACTGTCGTAATATAGTTTTCTGTATAGAATATAAGTCGTATAACAGTTTTATTTATAAAATTGGTCGTATAACTGCTTTTTTCTGTAGAAAAATTAACGTATAACAGTTATATACATACAAAATTGGTGGTATAACAGTTTTGCTCTATAGAAAGTTGGACGTATAACAGTTTCATCTATAGAAAATAGCTCGTATAACAAAAGATATAAGTAAAAGTTTTTCTTATGGAAACTGGTTCAAAACTTGTTCATAAACAACTATTTTCATCACAATTCCCCCTCATTCAAAAAAAAAAACCTAAATTAATAATAATAAAAATCAACTAAAAAAATATTTATTATTACCCTAAAGCCATCCATAATCCGGTCGCGCAAGAATGGAGGTGGTGGTGGCGGTGGTGGATAAGGATCACGTCCGTACATACGATCTCTATAGCCGCCCGGGCCCATGTCACGACCACCACCGCTGCCGCCATACAAGCGCGGACATTCTTTTGACCAATGACCCGAACGGCCGCAACGATAACACTGCTCTGGATCACCCATGCCGGGTTTCGGCCGCACACGACTGGTGGAGACCTGAACCTTCAGCGGTTGACCATCGACAACACGACCATTCAATTCCTTAATACAATCTTGTACATCACCGACACAGTCGAGATGTACAAAACCATAATTGCGAACGATATCACATTCGACAACGGTGCCGTATTTTTGGAATAGTTCACGTACTTCGGGCGCACGAGTTTTATCGGTTAAATTGCCCACAAAGATTTTCGTGGTCGGTGTATTGGGGGCACGACGACTCTTGGCCGCTTCCACTTTAATGCCATAGCCATTCAACATGAAACCATTAAGATTCTCAATGGCTTTGCGGCCTTGTTCTTCGGTTTCCATATGAACGAAACCATAGTTTTTCACTACATCACATTCCACTACGGTACCGTATTTCTCGAACAAAGGTCGCAGTTCGGAGGCTTGAGTTTTCTCATCGAGATTACCGATGAACAGCTTAAAGGTGCCTGCTCCAGGCATATTTTCACGCGTGTAGATTTTTGCTTTACAATAACGAGTTTCACGTTTTGTTGAGAGGAAGATGCGGGCGGGCGTTTGGTCGATCGGGTATGCGTTCTTACGTTAGCTGCGCCGGCGACGTCGCGTTTTTTTTTTAATGTAACAAAAGTAACCGCAAACGTACGTGTGTTGTAACGATTTTCCAAACCGAAACGTTTAAAAACCACGGATATTCTAAATTAAATTAAAACATTGGATACTTTTTTTCAGAGCAAAAACCAAAACCATGTTTTTTTATTTGTTGTTTGTTTAAAAATGTGTATAATATATAGAAAATTAAACGAACACCAAGAAAATTTAGAGAAATAGAAAATAAAGGCACCGCTGCTTATAGGCTTTTTATTACTGGCAGCCATTTTTGCGTAAGCTGCCGGCATGATTTACTTATTTTTTTAAAGATAATTTTTATAAATTTATTAAACGAATTTATTGGAATTTCATACAATTTTATTGTTTTGAAAAATTATTTAAGCGTTTTCACTTTATTAATAAAAAAAATTTCACCGGCTGTTTCTTTTTTCTTTGTCGTGCTTTAACTTAAAGATGGCGTCATTTAAGAGAAAAATTTTTTAGTTTTTGTAAAAAGATTAATTTGCTTAACTATTTTTGTTAACTGTTGTTTGGCTTACCCGCTGTTAATTGTTATAATATTTTTCTTATATTTTTATGTATATTTAACAATAAATTTCCCCAAAAAATTAATAATTTTTCGGGAAACACGTCTGACTGTCAGCTTAATTTTTTCAATAGATACCGAAAAGATGGTGGCTTGTAAGCAGAGCCCTGCGCCGACAAATATTAACGGCGTCGGCGACTGATACGACAAAACCGATTGTAAGCCGGCAATGTTTTCAATTACGTTTAGTTTTTAATTTTTCAACGATTTTAAATAAAAACGGAATCCGAGAGATCAAAAAGTGGGATTTTGGAAGCAAATATATTGTTTATAAAAACAAACAGAGCAAGCACAAAAAGCACTTTTGGAATGATGTATTACCTATAAATTGATTTTCTGTTAGAGGGTTATATTGGCGGACTGATCCTCATAATTTTCTGAAGAAGATCTCATATGGGTTTAGGGTGAATTATGCTTCGATCGTTATAAAATTTGGAAGACATATTTTCGTTCCAACAAAAATTGTTTTATTATGGTATTATTAAGTACGTAAAAAACGTTAAAATACAAAATATGGCGAAATTTTCAAGCCGTATTAAGCTGAAAAATTTTCAGCGACAGCAGTTTTGACATTTTGTTCGGCGGCTAGGTTTAGTCGGCTTTAAGCCGAACCGGCGCGAGTCTCTGCTTGTAACAGTGTTGGCAAATGTCAAAATATGTGTGAGAAAGTATTGCCAGCTTGAAAAATGTGTGTGTTTTTCAATATGAGCGAGCTGCCAACTATTAAATAGTTGTAGGGTTAAATAAATAACAGTTTGATTAGAATTCAAACCGCAAGCGACTGATGATATAAACCAAAAATAGAAATTGGTAATTGGTATAAAGGAGGTAGTAAATTCCAGATTATGCCCCCAGTTGCCTAATATGCCAAAATACAAATCTACATAGAGTAGAAACAAATTCGGAAATGTTGCTATTTTTCTAAAACCATACAAATTCCAACTGTTTAATAATTTATTGACAAAAAAGGCTAATATATTACAAATTAATAAATAAAAAGAAACACTCTAAAATAATATGGTCTAATAGTTTGTTTCCTCACCTAGTACAATAAAAAATACTTTTCATTATAACTATTCATCAGTTAAGTCCACCATTGATATATTTGGAAGCGTTTCATTGTTGGTTACCATTTGCGCAGGCTTATCATTCCCACTTGCTTCTATATCTCGTACAACTTTATTGGTTTCATCAATACCTTGACCTTTCCCGTGTATAACTAAGGTTTTCTCTCCATTTTCTTCCTCTAAAGCTTTAAATTTTTCATTTAATTCCTCTACATTACCATTTTCTATTGATTTCTCTTCTATATTTGATTCGTTCTCTTTATTCACACTCTCATTTGCTGTTGCGTCCTCTTAAGATTTATTTCGTTCTCCAATAATTTATTCGTTTTTTCTGTTATCGTTTCTATTATTTCCAAATCTTCAGAATCCGATGCCGAACTACTTAATAAGCATATTTCAGTTGCATTCCTTATTAGCAACTTTATGAGAATCTTCTGATTCTAAAGATATGTGTGATTGTATGCTCTCTCTATCGCTATCCTCGCTCTCCACAGGAGAATCATGTTTTTTATTTAAATCTTCTTTTCGCCTGATCGGAGTTATGTGGTTTTCCCTCTTCATCTGAGGACAATTTGAAGGTTAATATACCATTTTCATCTTCTTCGGCAGATGAACTATTTAGACTTATATTCAAACCAGTTTCGGAATGTTCCGATAAACTAAGATCACTTGGTATTTCTACACTATCTTCCAATTCCTCCTTAACCATTTCTTGTTGTGCTCTTTGCTGTTGCTGTAGCAAATGATTCATTTGATTATAAGCCATGACAGCATAAGCCATATTGGGATTAACATAGTAACCCGTTTCATTTGGATAATCTTTGTAGTAATCTTCTGCATATTCTTCCTCTTTGACAGGCTTTTTATATCTTTTCTTTTTGCGATGTTTATGCTTAGAATTCGAGCTACTACTACTTGACTCTGTTTCACTACTGCTACTACTGCTGCTTGAGGAGGACGTCGATGAGGAAGAGGACGAGGAAGACTTTTGCTTTTTCTTGCGCCTTTTTTTCTTTTTCTTCTTTACACTTTTACTTTTTTTCTTTGTGTACTTTCTTCACTATCACTACTTATTATATTGGAACTCTCTGCATCACTAGGTCTTCTTATTGGTCTCGGCCTGATTTCTAAATTCTCTTCTCCTTTTTTTAGCATCCAATTCTTTAAGTTTTCTTTGACATCTTTGATGATTACGATCACTTTGTCGTTTATTGTGAGTCATCATGGAATTAATAGTTCGTCCTAGAAAACGTTTATTTGGTTTGCCCAAGGGATTCTTTTTTCTTTCTGTTGGCATTTTTTCCAATTCCTTATACTCATCCATTTCACGCATTAGCTCTTCAATGGCTTTTCTAGAATTTACGATAAACGGTTTAAATAAGAAATATATTAAATATTTGAACTGAAAATTACTTTGTTAAATCGGCATCATCCATTTTAAGTTATTATTTGCTATTTTTTATAGGAATTATAAAATTTGTAACAAATACACAACAAAACTGAAAAAACACTATTGTTTACCTCAGCTGTTTTTAGGAATTGCTATATTTAGTTATAATTTTATAAGGTTGGCAAGTCCTATGAGGAATGCCAGCATTTTTATGTTAAACTGGCAACTTTGCTTGCAGGGATATAAAATTTATAAACTGTGAAAACTCTTTTTTATACATTTTCATACTTTTTTTATATTTTTAAGTATTATTAAAATTTATTTTATGATTTGAACTTAGATTCTAACTCATTTATTAATTTTTTTATTTACTTATTAATTTTTAGTTTAAAATTAAGTATTTTAACGGTTAACAATAGCACACTGTGCCACCATTTTTTTAATTTCATATGGCAGCATTGCCTTTTTTACATGAATGCTTTTCAGGCCTGATTTGTCAAGTTCAATTTGTGCGGGAAGAAAATAAACTTTTGTTTTGCATTTCTTTTTATATTTTAAACCATAAATTTACTATGAAATCGTTTAAAATGATCAGCTTTATTTTCTGGTAATAAGTATTAAAACATTCAAAACTGGCTATACAATTTACAATGTTCCAATAAGCAGAATTTAACATGTCCGGACAACTGCTGTCTTCAAGGTAAACTTTTTGGAATAATATTAAATTCTTTAGGTTAAGATTATGTCCAGTCAGTTCCTTTATAATACTAGCAATTATGTTAAAATTAAGTTTTGGTACAAGGGAATGTTAGGTTTTAACAGGACTGCTGCCTATCGAACATTTGAACCAGCATTTATTGGGTTTGATCCCTCTGTGAAGCAAGGGAAATAGATATACATACATACATATGTACATACATCATATACATACATCAAATATATATAGATAGATAGATTGAAATGACAAGTCCTTTTTTTCAATTTATAAACAAACTGGTCTGCTATTTAATTAAACAACGTTTCTTTAATAGTTTTACAAATACTTTATTATAAAACACAATACTTTTTATCTAAAAACTTTGTATATATTATTGCACTACTAAATATGTTTGTATAAGATTATGTATATAGGTTTCTTAGGCACTTTATGAATATTGCTTAATTTTAAATTGACTTAATATAACCGTGTTGCATATTAACCGTTCAAAAATTCTTCCAAAGCATCTTTGGTTTCGGTATCATCTAAAACCACCTCTTCTAAGGAAACCTCTTGTGTTAAATTGGTTTGAATTTCTTTAAAAAGAAAATATATTAAATTTATTTTATCCGCAAACAAGTAAAATATTAGTGAGTTTTAAGAAAACTGTCTAATATTCGACGGTTTACGGAAAAAGTTTCCGAAAACTTTATGTTTCTTTAAAGTTTACTTACTTGGTATATGACCCTTTTGTTTAAATTCCTCCAAGGTCATGGCGAAAAGCATCATCGAATACAGCTTGACGTTCTTTTTGAATTTTCCTTAAATTGCCCTCATAATCCTTAATACGTTGTTGATGTTCGGCAGCAACTTTTTGTCTAAACAGCTCCAAATCCTCTAAAGGGAATAAAAAGAAATTAAAAGAAAAAAATGTTAAATATTTTCCATAAAAGTTCCAATACTTTGTAAAGACAATGTTTTTCACAATCAAGCTTACCCATTTTCTTTTGTTTATATTTCGATATTTCACATTGTTTTTCCAATATATACTCCTGTAATTCAGCATTCTTCACACAAATCTTCCAATTTCTCCAATTCCTTATCCACTATATGACTAAGATTATTAACTTCATTCAATGTCTCCTGACAAGGTTTTTAATTTGGCCACAAGTGAGGGAATACCCGCTAGACAGTGTATTAGATCGGTCATCACTACATGATGATTTGTCATACTTTTTTCGATAGTCTGTATTTGTTTGGCCACTTCTTGAGCTTTTTTGGCATTATCCATATTATTTTGATGAATAATTTTCCAATCATCTTCATATTTGGCCAATAAATTACAGCCGGCAGCAACATTAACATCCGAAGGTACACCCAAGTCTAAAGTAGAAGCTGCTAAAGAACTGCGACTACTACTCAAGCTCTAAAAAGATGAAATTTTCATCTAATTAAAGCAATTTTGCTAAATATTGTTTGAGACTTTACCTCTGGTGTTGTGACACGTTGACGATATTGCTGCTGCAAGTTTTCGGTTATTATTGAGGCCTCTTGCAAAGCATTATTGAATTTTTTCTTTAAGCTACTTAACATGGTGGTTTAAAATTTTGTTTATTTTTATTTAGTTTAGCTTAATTGTTATTAATTTATGTTGTTAATCGGAAAAAGCAACTAGTTAGATTAGTAAACACTATCAGCTGTTGGGATAAAAAAAATGTCAACAAGTTATCACTTTTTGACACTTGCTTTAGTTAGATTTTCTTTAGGTTGTAACGCACGTATAATACGTGTTCAATACGTCAAGGACTGAATTAGTCTGGACTATAGACTGACAATAATCTGGACTATAGATTGACTATAGTCTTGATCTGTATTACAGACTGACTTAGACTATATTAATGACTATATCTCTACTATAGACTTACGTAGTTGAGAATCGACTGAATATAGTCTGGACTTAGACTGACTGTAGTCTGGACTATAGACTGACTATAGACGGACTATAGTCTGGACTATAGACTGACTATAGTCCTGGACTATGACTGACTATAGACAGAAACTGACTATACGTGACTATAGTCTGAATATAGTCTGGACTATAGTCTACACTATAGGCTGTCTAAGAAGACTATAGGACAATCCTATAATGACTATAGTCTGGATATTAGACTGACTATAGTCTGACTATAAATGACTATAGACGACTAAGTAGATAGATGACTATAGTCGGACTATAGGACTGACTATAGTCTGACTATAGACTGACTATAGTCTGGACTATAGTGACTGTAGAATATGGACTATAGACTGATATAGTCTGGACTATAGACTGAGCTATATAGTCTAGTCCTATAGACTGGACTATAGTCTGGACTATAGACTGACTATAGTCTGGACTATAGACTGACTATAGTCTGGACTATAGACTGACTATAGTCTGGACTATAGACTGACTATAGTCTGGACTATAGACTGACTATAGTCTGGACTATAGACTGATATAGTCTGGACTATAGACTGACTATAATCTGACTATAGACTGACTATAGACTGACTGTAGTCAGGACTATAGACTGACTATAGTCTGGACTATAGACTGACTATAGTCTGGACTATAGACTGACTATAGTCTGGACTATAGACTGACTATAGTCTGGACTATAGACTGACTATAGTCTGGACTACAGACTGACTATAGTCTTGAGTATAGACAGACTATAATCTGGAATATAAACATAAGTCTGGAATACGAACTCGGTACTATTTCATTGAACTTATTGGAATATTCTTATTTTTTAAATAAACACTGATTCACCCTGTAATCTCTTTTAAAATCAGCTGTGTTCCCCAAACCAAATAACCAACTCGGCTAAATTTTAATATTAGTTATTAAATAAGTTATTAATTAAACTCGAAATTATTTAAACTAAAATTATTATGTTAAATTTATATACAAAATGTTTACGAAAGCAACCAATACGCCTAGTGCAAGGCGCTTTAAGAAATCTAAGTGATGAGACCAATGGCCGTCGTGAGTCGCAAGTACAAAAACGTATACGTGAGGAATTGGAGCGTGATAAACTGGCTTTGAAATGGCGCAAAACTAATGAAGAGGCTGGAGATGTTGATACTAAGCTAAAGTTGTTTGCCAATCAAGAACAAACATCCGACTACATAATAATGATGCAAAAACCCATAATCTTAATCCCAAGGAATGGCTAGCCATGTTGGAGAAGAAAAAGGAAAAGAAAGAGCGACATATGCAGCAATTTATGCCCGAGAGACATGAGATATTGGGACCCGATTTAGCCACTGCACATTTTATACTGCATCGTGGTGGCGCTGTTAAATTTCTCAATAGTCAAAATTGGATGAAAGCAGATGAGAATGGAGAATTTAAACTACCAAGCACCTATCATGCTCAATTCAAAGTGGAGGCTGTACGTTGTGACAATATGACTTTGTACTATGAGGGTTTGGAAAATATACGTTGGCTGCAGGAATTGAAATTTCTATCATTTCATAATGTTAAAACTTTCGATGATTGGTGTTTGGATAGAGTTTCTGGCTCGCAATGTCATAAATTGGAAATTCTGGATATATCGGGTACCCAGTGCACTGCTCGTGGTTTATCCTGTCTCTATCGTTTAACTAATTTAAAACTTTTGGTAGTAGATGATCCCAAAGAGTCTTTGGAATATGAATTAACTTGTTCTATGTTGGAAGAGGCTTTGCCTAAACTAAAAATTGTTAATGCCGGCTCATTGCATGAAAAATAATTCTGCAGTTCTTTCAAATTTAAGTTTCTGTACAAAAATGTTATTTATTTACAATAAATCTAAAATGACTATCATAAATCTTATCACTTCTAATTAGCTTTAGGTTTAGTTTCATATACTCCGCCTTAATAGCTTCTCTTTCCTCTACGGGCGGCAAATAGGGCGCTATACCTTTAGCTCTACGATCGGAACGTATTTTGTGCTGAAAAATTTTTTATATTAAGTATGATTTTAAGATCTATAATGCATACATACCCAGAAATCTTTGCAATTTTTATAGTTGGCAAAATACACCTCACAGGCTTCTCTATCATAATTGTTTTTACTCAAACACTTGTAGGATAGCTCTTGCTCCTAGAATGTTTTAAAGTTGAGAAAATCATTTTTTTTTTGCTCTAATAGTTACTTACTTTTAAACAAGGATTATCTCTTTCGGCATTTGGATTACGAGGCATTATTTATAGTTATATTGTTCGAAAAAAAATTTCTTATATAAAATCTTAAAATTTATTCCAAAAATGTTTTGTTTATTGTTGTTATTTTTGTAAATAACAACAGCTAAGTGTTTTCATTTTCAAACTTGGCAGCATTTTCCACAACAGCTGTATGGAATGGAACAAACAGCTGGGCAAAGTAAAGGTGAAATGAATTAATTAAAGAAATATAACGGTTTTTTACCGATTAAACTATGAACTATTCTTTGATTATAGTCTAAGTCTTAAACTATGAGTCCTGGTCCTATAGAGTCTATAATCTTGACTAGAGGTATAGTCTTGACTATAGTCTAGTCTACAATTCTTGGCTATATTCTAGTCTATAAACTAGTCTTAGTCTGGATTATAGTCTAGTCTATAGTCTGGACTATAGTCTAGTCTATAGTCTGGACATAGTCTTAGTCCTATAGTCTGACTAATAGTCTAGTCCTATAGTCGGGACTAATAGTCTAAGTCTATAGTCTGGACTATAGTCTAGTCTATATTCTGGACTATAGTCCGTCGATAGTCTGAACTATAGTATAGTCTTATAGTCTGCACTATAGTTATAGTCTATAGTCTAGACTATATTATAGTCCATAGTCTGCACTATAGTAAGAGTCTAATAGTCCTGGACTATAGTCTAGCCTATAGTCTGGACTATAGTCTGGACTATAGTCTAGTCTATAGTGTGGACTATAGTCTAGCCTATAGTCTAGCCTATAGTCTGGACTATAGTCTAGCCTATAGTCTGGACTATAGTCTAGTCTATAGTTTGGACTATAGTCTAGTCTATAGTCTGGACTATAGTCTAGTCTATAGTCTAGTCTATAGTCTGGACTATAGTCTAGTCTATATTCTGGACTATAGTCCGTCTATAGTCTGAACAATAGTATAGTCTATAGTCTGCACTATAGTATAGTCTATAGTCTAGTCTAGACTATATTATAGTCTATAGTCTGGACTATAGTCTAGCCTATAGTCTGGACTATAGTCTAGCCTATAGTCTGGACTATAGTCTAGCCTATAGTCTGGACTATAGTCTAGCCTATAGTCTGGACTATAGTCTAGCCTATAGTCTGGACAATAGTCTAGCCTATAGTCTGGACTATAGTCTGGACTATAGTATAGTCTATAGTCTGGACTATAGTCTAGTCTATAGTCCGGACTATAGTCTAGTCTATAGTCTGGACTATAGTATAGTCTGGACTATTGTCTAGTCTATAGTCTGGACTATAGTCCAGTCAATATTCTAGTCTGGACTTCAGTCTGATCTATAGTGTGGACTATAGTCTAGTCTATTGTATGGACTATAGTCTTGTCTATAGTCTGGACTATAGTCGAGTCTATAGCCGATACTATAGTCTAGACAATAGTATATTATAGTCCATAGTCTGCACTATAGTATAGTCTATAGTCTGGACTATAGTCTAGCCTATAGTCTGGACTATAGTCTGGACTATAGTCTAGTCTATAGTGTGGACTATAGTCTAGCCTATAGTCTAGCCTATAGTCTGGACTATAGTCTAGTCTATAGTTTGGACTATAGTCTAGTCTATAGTCTGGACTATAGTCTAGTCTATAGTCTAGTCTATAGTCTGGACTATAGTCTAGTCTATATTCTGGACTATAGTCCGTCTATAGTCTGAACAATAGTATAGTCTATAGTCTGCACTATAGTATAGTCTATAGTCTAGTCTAGACTATATTATAGTCTATAGTCTGCACTGTAGTATAGTCTATAGTCTGGACTATAGTCTAGTCTATAGTCTGGACTATAGTCTAGTCTATAGTCTGGACTATAGTCTAGTCTATAGTCTGGACTATAGTCTAGTCTATAGTCTGGACTATAGTCTAGTCTATAGTCTGGACTATAGTCTAGTCTATAGTCTGGACTATAGTCTGTCTATAGTCTGGACAATAGTATAGTCTATAGTCTGCACTATAGTATAGTCTATAGTCTGGACTATAGTCTAGCCTATAGTCTGGACTATAGTCTAGCCTATAGTCTGGACTATAGTCTAGCCTATAGTCTGGACTATAGTCTAGCCTATAGTCTGGACTATAGTCTAGCCTATAGTCTGGACTATAGTCTAGCCTATAGTCTGGACTATAGTCTAGCCTATAGTCTGGACAATAGTCTAGCCTATAGTCTGGACTATAGTCTGGACTATAGTATAGTCTATAGTCTGGACTATAGTCTAGTCTATAGTCTGGACTATAGTCTAGTCAATAGTCTGGACTATAGTCTAGTCTATAGTCTGGACTATAGTCGAGTCTATAGTCTGGACTATAGTCTAGTCTATAGTCTGGACTATAGTCTAGTCTATAGTCTGGACTATAGTGAAGTCTATAGTCTGGACTATAGACTAGACTATAGTCCAGACTATAGTGAAGTCTATAGTCTGGACTATAGTATAGTGTATAGTCTGGACTAT